GAACTCCCGGGCGATGCGTTCCCGCCGCAGAGCCACCTTCCTCTGACGGGACGGGACGGGAAGAGGCACCGGTGAGCACTGGGAGCTGCTGGGATCTCCCCGGCATCCCCCGGCACCGTCAACCTGCCTTCAGCTCGCTCGGTTTCTTCTCCTCCCGCGCTCGGCAGCCGGCAACTGCCTCCAGCTTCCGCTCCAGCGGCTCCCGATGCAGCTTCTCCTGCCGGGGTGGGGAGAGAGGAGGGTTGGAGACAGGATGGGACACCCGTGCCCCAAATCCCGCCTCCATCCCTGAATCCCTCCTCTGGCGGGGTTAAGCACCACCACGAGGGGCTGGACACAAGGAAGAGCCAGGGCCCAGTTCCCTCCCTGAATGGTCTTGGGGAAGAATTTGGGGCTAAAAACGGAGATGGGGAAGAGCTGCTGCCCAAACGCCTCTGTAAATGACCTCAGGGAGAGGGTTTGGGGCTAAAAATTGGAGATAGGGACAAGAAGTTGCTCAAATCCCCTCCATAAATGCTGTCAGGGAAAGAGCGTGGGGATAAATCCCATCATGAGGGGCTGCAAAAGGAGACGGGGATGAACCAAGGCCAAAACTCCTCCAGAAACAGCCTCAGGGAGAAGGTTTGGGGCTAAATTCCAACCTCAGGGCTTGGAAACGGGGAAGAGCCATGGCCAAACCCTCTCCACAGATGGTCTTGGGGAAGAATTTGGAGCTGAAAATGGAGACAGGGGCGCGCTACATCCAAAAACAGTCCACAAACAGCCCCGGGGTTGAATTCAGGGCTAGAACAAAGACTCGGGGACGCTCCCTGCCCTGCACCCACCAGGATTTCGGTCTCCCCCGTTCCCCCACCTTATACTCGAGGGCTGCGTCGTCGAGGGGGACGAGGGCGTGGGCGCGATGGGCGTGGGAGATCTCGCAGAGCAGGCAAACGGGGGCTTGATCGTCACGACAGAATCGGGCTAAAGCTTGGCCGTGAGCTTGGCAGCGACTCTCCTCCCTGGCTTTCCGTTTGGCACCGCGAAGCTGCCGGGCGGCTTCTACCATGTTACCGAGTTGCCGGTTGGGTCGAAGAGCTCGATGACGAGAGGTTTTCCGACAGACGGGACAAGGGAAATCACGCGCCAGCTCCGCCCACCAGCGAGTGATGCAGCGGCGGCAAAAATTGTGGCCGCATTCGATGATGACGGGATCTTGCAGGTATTCCAGGCAAACCGAGCAGCTCGCTTCCACCCGCAGTGTCTCCAGCGGGTCGGCCCCCGACATGGCGGCACTGCTGTTTCTCCCCCCCAAATTTTGGGGGGGAGGAGGGTTGGGCACGGCTCAGGGAGGTTCCAGGCCGGTTGGTGGGACGGGAAGGGGTTGAAGATATTTTTTGGGGGGAAAAGAGCTTAAATCCGTTAAGGTGATGAGGTGGTTTTAGTAAGAATGGGATGCTGAGGGGCGGTGATGTGGGTTCAAAGCGGTTTTGGGGAGAAAACAGCTCAATTCTGTCAAGGAAACGCTGTGGTTTTGGTGGGAAGCGATGCTGAGGTGATGGCGCAGGTTTGAAGAGGTTTTGGGGTGAAAACAGCTCAATTCTGTCAAGGTGATGATGTAATTTTGGTGGGAAGTGATGCTGAGGCGATGGCGCAAGTTCAAAGCAGTTCTGGGGAGAAAACAGCTCAATTCCGTCAAGAGAACAACATGGTTTTGAAGCGAAGCGATGGCGACGATTCAAAGCGGTTTTGGGGAGAAAACAGCTCAATTCTGTGACGACGATGACATCATTTTGGTGCAAACCAATCCCGAGGTGACGGTGCAGGTTTGAAGCCCTTTTGGGGAGAAAACAGCTTAAATCAGTCAAGGTGATGATGCGGTGCTGGTGTAAAATGACATCAAGGTAGCAGCACGGTTTCTAAGGGATTTGGGGGAGAAAAAAAAGCTCAATTCCATCAAAGCTATGACGTCATTTTGGTACAAAGCAACGCTGAGGTGATGACGCGGATTCAACGTCATTTTGGGTAGAAAACAGCTCAATTCCATCAAGGTGATGAGGCCCTATAGAGCAGTCGCTATAGGAGAGGTCTCTATAGGGGAATCCCCGTCTGCGGGTGGGCTCCACGCTGGGGCCCCTATAGAGAAATCACCAGAAGAAAAGGCTCTATAAGAGACTCCCAATAGGAATGGGGACCCTATAGGGGTGCTCCTATAGAGAAGGAGCCCTAAAATGGATGCTCTTTAGGATGAGGGCTATGCAAAAGTCCCTATAGGGAATTCCCTATAGAAAAGGGGATGCATAGAGCACACCTCACAGAAAAACGCCGTTCCGGGGGCCCTATAGGGAAGACCCTATAGAAAGGGGCCCTACAGGGGAAGCCCTGTCCGGGGGCGGCTGTTCCGGGTCGCTACAGGGGACATCGCACAGGAAGGGGCCGTTCCGGGGTCCCTATAGGAATGGCTCTATAGGGGACACCCTATAGAGGATCCCGGCCACCCCCACTCCCACTCACC